TTTTGAAGCAACGCCTTAAAGTTCCACCGCCAATTCACCAGTTCTCGAAAACCCTCGACAAGAACCTGGGTTGATTTTTTATACCCTCTGTATTTTTCTGCGTTCTTTTTTTCGTATACGGTCCGTATTTGCTAATTGTTTATGAGATGCTGAGTGTTATTCTTGTTTGATAAATGTGAACTTGGTAATTTTTATGATTGATGATGCTGTTGACAAATGTAGGAAGCTGGGTGTGTTATTTTTATGAGTGAAGATTTGGTTGAGTTTTTTCGACCTGTTAGAAATAATGTCTTGACTCTTGATTTACTTTCACAAAATGTTCCTTTGGTTCTTTGTATCATTTTTCATTCTTGAGATAACATATCCAGCTCATATAATGCTGAATTCAATTGAAAATTCAGCATGGTACAATGATGCTATTAATGGAACCATGTCTGGTTATTATGCTAATGCACATGTTATAACTCTCAATTGAGTGCTCAAAAGGATTCTATCTTTGTTATAGTTTACAAAATATATACTGTTGGTTCATTGGTTGTGTATATAAGATTAAAGAAGATTTTTTTTAGGATTTGACGCTTCTGGAAAATTAGATTTTATATTGAGCCCTGTTGATCTTGGATATATTATTGCTAATTCAGTAATCTGTATTTATCATCATGCTTGTGACCAAATGTCTTTTATATCATTTAGACTGTGTGATATTTATATCCTAATAGTGGAGCCAATCTAGGCCATTAATGTAACATCTACCTTGTAGTTGGGTTTTGAAATTGGTGATCCAACAATGATCTACCCTTGTTATTAGGGGCCTCTTTCAATTGCCTTTTCGTTAAACTTATCGTTGCTTGACTTAAATAAATTAAATTGTTCTTGTACCATTGTGAAACTTTCTGTTCATGATGATAAATTTTTGTTGCTTTTCAATATGCAGCAACGAGCTTATTCAAGATGCTTCTCAAGTACAGGCCTGAGGATAGAGCTCAAAAGAAAGAGAGGCTTCTAAAAAGAGCTCAGGCCGAGGCTGAAGGAAAAACACCTGAGGTTAAGAAGCCAATCATAGTGAAATATGGTCTCAACCATGTCACCTATCTGATTGAGCAGGTTTGGACTTCTTCACTTCACAGTGGATGCGACAGTGTCTTATCTGTTAAGGAACTAAATTAATCAAACTTGTTCTTGCAGAATAAAGCTCAATTAGTGGTCATTGCACATGATGTCGACCCCATTGAGTTGGTTGTATGGCTTCCCGCATTGTGCAGGAAAATGGAAATCCCTTACTGCATAGTGAAGGGAAAGGCACGTTTGGGAACTGTAAGTGGCCTATGGTCTTTGGTCTCTGATTATTGGTATTATTGGCTTCGAGACCATTATAATGTTTTGTTTAATGCCATCTTGCAGATTGTCCATAAGAAGACGGCCTCTGTATTGTGCTTAACTTCAGTTAAGAATGAAGACAAGATGGACTTCAGCAGGATCTTGGAAGCTATTAAGGTAGTGTACTATTCATATCCTGTAAATCCTGTACTCTTTATATAATAAATATGTTGAGTTCTTGATACGTTTTGCATAGAATTAAAATTTGTGGACAAATCCTTGTTTTCTTTTTCATCTGTGACAACAAGCCAACTTCAATGACATATATGATGAGACCAGGAAGAAATGGGGTGGTGGTGTAATGGGCTCAAAATCCCAAGCANTGTTGGGGTAATGGGCTCAAAATCCCAAGCCAAGACTAAAGCCTAAGAGAGACTCATGGCCAAGGAGGCTGCACAGAGGATGACTTAGGCTTTAGTCTTGCCTTACTCTGTCGAGGATAGAACTGAATGAGTGAACCTTTTACCTGCCTTTGTATTGCTCCAATTCATAAACATTTTTGCTTCCATTTGATAATTGATTGACAGATGACAGGCTTGATTATCTAAGTATATGCTGATGTTTTGGTTTTGTCAGGTGTTTATTCACAATTTTTTTTATTTGTAGAATGAAATGACCTCTTTTTTTTTTTTGGCCCCCATATAAATGTGATCGTACCAACAACAGGTTGGAGCCTAACAACATCATTCTTCTAGGAAATCTGCAAATCTGAGCCCGTTGTCGAGTTCTGGGTATTGAACTTTTGTGGCACTAATGGCAATGTTTGGCATATAAAGAAATAACAAAGTAAAATAGTATGAACGTCATTTTGAATTCAGTTGTGCTATCTTCTAGTTGCTGATGAAGTTCATAAACTTGAAAAGCAGTGTAGCTCGAAAGGGATCCATGGAGATATTTAGCTAATCTCTGTCTGATATGAGGAAGTATTCACCACTTTAATTGTTCATAACATCTTTTATGGGTTACATGACTACACATTCATGAAATGGTACAGCAATTTCTTGGTGGATAACAAATTAAGTCAAATATTGAGATTCATTATAAATTGATTTACCAAGATTGACTGTCATGTTATTGGTGTTCAAGATAAACTAAGTTAAGCACAGGTACTTGGTCATGTACATAGTTGTGGGATTTTGCTTGGTGTACGTTTGGCTGTTTCCATAGTTGTGTAGCAATCCGCCAATGGATTCCGGTTCCTTGCTTGTAATATCTTTGTCAAACAAGTGACAAGTGGTAATAGTCATCTCAGAGCAAGTTTAACTCGAACAGTCAAGTAAAAACTGGCTACTTAGAAGCTAAACAAGAAAGAGGAAACTTACTTCACTACACACTCCCTATATCTAAATTCTCAGGATCACTTCCGTTTATAGCAATCATAGTTGCACTCTACGCGTTATTTGCACTAGAAATCCTTCTTGAAGTGCCACACGTAGAGCTGAGATGGGAATTTCATGCTAGATATTGAATGTTATTTGTTGAAAACGTATTTAATGGCACAATATAATTTCTTATATTTATGCTAAGTATTGAAAAAATAATTCGTATTATCAGCTCAAAATTTTTTTAGAAAAATAATATGAATAGGATCAAACATGAACCCGAACTCCAATCGACGTTCTTTTTCGATTCCATTAATTATATGGACCTAATGATTTCATTTATGAAATATTCGAAAGGGAGAATTACACAAAATCCTACTTTTCAAAATCAATATTCAAAACTCAGGTTGAAAGTTTATTATACAAAAATCATGTATTCATTTAATTATAAATTAATATTTTATTAAACTTGAACGATTCTGTTCTTCCAGAGACAGAGAGCTTGAGTTCTTGGTTTAGGGGGCAAATGGGCATGGATTGTAATCTCTCTTGGTGTGATTCGTAGATTTGTGGTGGATTAGTGTTTGTGATGTGTGGATTTTTGTGATT